ATTTGGTGTATAATGTATATGTATTAGGCAGGTTAGGACTGACAAGTGCTCTGCTGTTTTTGGGTTTATAATTAGAGTTGTGGTCTCTGTTGTTTTTGGGTTTATAATTAGAGTTGTGGTTTCTGTTGTTTTCGGGTTTGTAAAAAGGGTTGTGATTTCTGTTGTTTTGGGTCTATAATCCGGGTTGTGGTTTCAGTTCACAAGTTCCGTTATCTTTTCGTCTACAATTGGGGCTGTGCTTTGGGGTTTGGCATCAGACACATACGGATTGATTGGCAAGTGATAAGAGTTCTGTCTCGGAGTTTTGAACATAGAAACTGTCTGTGCCAAAGTGTGTTGAGAACAATGCCTGCGTTTCGCAGTGCAAAGGTTTAGTCGTCTAGAGTGTACTATACACGTTAAGGGTAAGGGTGGACCATTTAAGTTCAGGGTAAGACTTGGTCGTGTAGGGTTGAGCGGTAGAGGTTTTATATGAACTAGCTAAAACTTTATACTCATACGAACAATTGTGATATTCGAGCACGCATCCTCTGTTCATACCCACAGATCCAATTACACGTGGTTCAATAGAACTTCAAACGAGACACAGAGAGATAGAGAAAGAGAGTGTAAGTGTGTGCGAATGGATGTATCCATCTGCATGTACACCTCCACCCACACACATAGATGTAACGAATCAACGCACCGCTGAATTTATTTTGATTAAACTTTCACACACATAGCAGATGAGCAAACACGCAACATAGCAGATGGGCCAACACCTACACATAGCAGATGGATCCACACCCACATATAGGCCCATTGGTGTGCGTGTTTTACCCCGTGTCCATCTTCAGTTGACTGCGCGGGATGTATCGTTTGCGGAATGTTCGCAGCACTCGCGTCACGCGGTGGTTCAGGCGCACGTCCAACACAAACCCAATGATACGCATGACAGTCACCAACGCCTTGCGATGCAGGCGGAAGAACCGCGCATCCTGAGTAGCTGTAGGGTTTTAGGGGTTTTGGGTTAAAATGTCACAGTGCAGATGGGTGTGGATGGGTGTTAGCTGTGTGGTGTGTCGGTAGCAGTGGAGTTGGTTGGCATGATGATAGGGCACAGTGTGGGTCAGTGGCTGGGATAGGTTCGCTGCTGAGGGCGTATGCATCGCAGTGGCGCGATATGAACTGCTCG